TGCTACTTAAGATTTCAGCTCTTTTGTCAGCTATCGATCAGTAATATTTTGCAGATTTCAGATCTCATTTGTCAGTTGGAAAGCGTATCATTTCTCAGAGAAGGTAAAGGTTAAGTCTTCATACGAGCCAAGTGGCTCATGAGGCCGGCTCTTCAAGTGTCTTGCCCAAGAACACAACGCGTCCCCAGCCAGGGCTCGAACCCGGACCGCTCAATTTAGTCGAAGTCTAAAAAGAGACTGAGAAGAGTATATTGCTCCAGTTTTAATAGTTAGGAGCCTTTACAATGGCAGTAGATCACTACCACATACAAAACCCCGGGGAGTTACTCCCAGAAAAATCGGGTGGGGGTGTGCTGCCCGCTTCCCAAAACCCTTACCCTATTTATGACTAAAATCTGCGATATTCCCTAGCCTATTTATGACCCGATCAAAAATTCCAAACCCTATTTATGACCTGACTCTTAGATCAAAACTCTATGTCAGATCTGCGTTATAATTAGTTCCCAAGCTCAGACCAATGTTAAATTACCGTAAACGTAATTTGTGAAGGGCTTTTGTTGATTTTCTTTTCGATAATGATGAAAAAGTGGCTTCTTCTTAAAAACATACCCATATCAAGGCTAGAGTGCAAAAACCATACCCTATTTATGACAAAAATGGCCAAAATCAGCTAAAATCGGTACCCTATTTATGACCAAAACAGCTGAAAAAACATACCCTTTGGGGCCGCACATACCTATATAGCCCATATAAGGGAATAACCCCTCCCCCCTCACCCCCTGGGTGCAAAACGTAGGCGACTGAAGTAGAAGTACCTCGAAGAATTTATTTTTAGCTGTAATGATGTGCTTTCCAGCTGTCATGGTGCCGTATCTTTTATTCCAATCCCCACATGAGTTCCCAACTGCAAGAAAGGTGATATTCAAATGATAAGCAGGTATAGGATGAGCCTGAGAATAATCCTACTTAACCGTACTTTTTTTCAAGCGCGCTTCGGGAGCATATCAAGTGAGTTTGGTCGAGAAATGGTTCCTATATTTTGGGGGGACGTAGAAGAGCCAAAATATCCATGGTGAGACCAAACGAGCTTGACATACCGTAGACGGGTGCCAAAAACTATACGCGGTTAGGTATTTAC